CTAAGACTCCGGCCATTCCTAGGAATGGCCGGCTATGACTGCGGCCATTCTTAATACTATACTACAAATTCCAATTAAAGTATTGAGTATGAAAATTATGAAAAAAGAAGTTGAGTAGTCGCTGGTGTTTGATATCGTAGGAATCAACGTTAGGATATCGTATCTGAGCTTAGACTGGATTTAGGCTTGTCTAATCCTCGACCATAGTAGATCATTTAATTAATTTAAGAAGAAGTCGTTTGTCCTGTTTCGCCAACGACTACTCACAGAGTCACAGGGACTATTTTAAGGGAAGGAGAAGTGGCCATTCAGTGCAAAATAGTGGTCATAGGGTCATATGGTCATGCTGAAGCCGCTTATTTTTCTGGTCATTCTACTCTACTCCACTGGTGAAACTGTACAGTATATAGTGGACTGTATAGAAGCTGATTGGGATAACCATGACAATCGTCGACACTGTCTACAGTAGGCAGTACAGTATTTTAGTACGATCAATCAGGGACTACGCTAGTCATGAAGAAAGACAAAGGGACGACAAGGGCTGATCATTTTTCTGATCATTCTACGTCTACACTATCATGGAAAGCATAGACATTACTACACTATATAAAACCAACGAACTAGCTCAATCTTAGAGGACTATCATGGACACTGTATAGGAGTTCAAATAAGCAGCCAAGTAGTGGGACTCCACCATTTTTTTACTGTACTCGCATCTCTCGACAACGCCATCGTAGGGCATGTTTTAGACGGACGGAAACTGTCCTGCGTTGACGTCAGCGGTCAAAGAAGAGCCAAGGCCATACTGTACTAGTACAGTACTGAAAGAAGATTCAAATCATACTAGTACTGTATGAGCGGTAGTCTGGACTGGGTATAAATACTACAGTGAAAAGTCAGTCATTACTCAGCAGTAGCACTGACAAGGTGCAATGGCGCTTTCTGCTACCAACTAACCGAGTGAGGAGGAAGGAAAAAGCAAAATTATTTCCATTATCCAATCATTTCTACTCATGGTGCCATTGATTTATTAGCTTAGAGATACTGAGTGGTATTAAAAACGACCAAAATGTCTGCTGCAGATAAGCTACTGAGAGCTTTTGAAGCATTAAAAAATTATTATGAAGGTGCTCCTGAGGAAGATCCAAGGTGAGTTAGGTCATGACTGTTGGTCAATATTGGCATAGAAAATGGCTGTTCAAATTATCTTTTTTTCCCCCCTTTTAACTCTTCCTTATTCATCCTATTTGGCTAGATTACTAATGCCATAGTTAGATTTGTCTACTAGTGTAGTGATCAATGATAAATAGTGTTTCTAATAGAGAAAGTTGGATCTGCAGATGATGTGTATTGCTAGCCTGCATTTGTCTATACCATAAGCATCATTGAATGCAATGACATGCTTACTGAATATAATTTAATTATGCCCATACCCTCATGTTATTCATTCTTCACTTTCAAATATGTAATATGCATTAAAGTATTCATCATGCAAATGATCGAAACTTGATATGACTATCGTTTAGGATTACATTCCAGTGAAATAGTAGATAAACATAGAGGATTAATGACGCGTCTTATTGTTGTTTTGATATTTGGACTAATTTCTTTTTTGCTCAATCGCTGATGATGACGATTATTATAATGACACTAATTGTAGGAAAAAAGAAGTACTGACTACGAAGGAACGTATTTTCTTTTGCTCTTCCATACCTGAATTAATCAATACACCAAGTATTAAGTAAGTTGATCAAACCTTATCTATATCTATTACTTGATAACCTAATTGGATAGGATAATCTTATGTTGTACCATGCATGCTATTTACCATTTTTGGCGTCAAATCATACAGAACAAATAGGAAATGGACAATAATGTATTTAGCTGTTAGACCATCATACTAAAAAGTAACATGAATCTGTGCCTAACTTTATCAAATACTCTATGTCTGGCTGTGAATTATTACAATTTTAACTGTCTACAAATTACAGTACCGTAGTACTGTACTGTACTAGAGAGTGCACCCGTGTTAATAGATAGCGGTCTCTTTCTACTTATTTGTCGATACTGCAGATAATGAAAATACATATCAAGATACAGTAATAATATCATTGCCCCACTGCCTGTTATGTTATACACCATAAGTTGTATTAATACGTTATTATCGAGTTGGTGGTGTTAGCTATTTAAATTTGGGTAAATTAGTGGTAATCAGTAGTAACAATTTCATTTTGGAGGGTACAGTATAGATGAGGCTTCCATTAGAATGTGAATGACACGTTGCATTTCTAAGAAGGATTGACTGTTTTGTATACTGTAGTCATTTGTTTAGGAGACCTGTGTGCTCCATAGCTATGAATTGTCATATTCCATAACATTAGTTGGCCTTGTTATCATCCAATCTATGCAAGGACAGATTACATCTTCATTTACATAGAATCAGTTATCATTGACATAATGACATCTACAATCCACTCCCTTTGTAAATTAGAATTGAGCGTATTAAATTTAATATCATTCTACATCGCATGAACTCAACATCTCTGGTATAGAATAATACAATGTAGTGGCAGTGATCATTTATTCACTAAGTATTATTTAGCTACTCTCATGATATAATCAATACCCATATATGATGTTAAGGTAAGCTCTATAGTACCATTGACCTTATTGTCAATTGAACGATTGTCTTCCAATTAAATTAGTATTCCGTAAATAATTTATCTGCTCCAACTGGTATGGAAATGGTATACTTGATTTGTGTTGATAAAATTTTGAATTCTGGATTACCAATTTAGTAGAATACTACATTATTAATATTGTTATAAGCCTCGGTCTTAAACTCTGTATAATTGAGATAATAATTGCCCAGATCACAGAAAAAGGTGATATAGTTAATATTGCATACACTACTGATATTGTGTATGTTAACAACTAACTTCAATCATTTCTTGCTAGAAACACTGTACGCATATAATAAAAACAGAAAGAAAGCATATTTTTTCGTAATAATAGGCTAAATAACATGATTGATCCTACTAAATAAAGCATTTTTGCATTTCTTTCGTTTAAATAATAGGAGTTTACCAGAATTTGGTAAATTAATTAGCATTGCCATTGAGATTTTATTGATAGCTTGTGATGACTCCGAATCGGATGTTCGCATGATAGCAGATGAAGTCTTAAATAAAACCATCAAAGTACAGACATATGCGTTGATCATTTTATAGGTTAAGCGTGTACTTGTTCGTTCATTATCGGTTTTGTTTATTTATGTAAGGTTTTAATGGATATTAATATTGGACGAGTGCATATCGAGTTGTATAAGGAAATTAAAAAGGTACGCATTACGTTGTTAATAATCGTTATGTAGTGCCGTATTAGTTATAGAAAGTTTATATAACTTTTAGTATACTATATGATGATGTACAGTATGAACAGTATATTAACTAAGTATTGGAATAGTGGTACTGTATAGTACTATATGTTGCGTATATGTATGAGCTAGTAGCGAATCCATGTTCAGTACACACTGTAGATTGAAATGTAGTATGATATGACGATGCGTAAACTTATATGTGTATATATATTTACCCTTGGAGTAGAATGGAACATCAAGATCATTGAGAGCTGCCTTATGGCGGTTTGCAGACTTGTGCCATCTAATCAGACCGCAAAAATGCAGGTTAGCATAGTACGGATAACTATATCAATCAGATTACTCGATAGACAATAGCATTGGTGTTACTTCAACAATTGTCATAATAACTGGATATGATAGCGCATTTTAAAAACTATGCATTTTTACCACTTTAATTACATCAAACACTATAAAATGATTCATAATAGAACATTTGCGCTTAATGCTCTTCCACGAATTGTCAGAATTTGTAAGAGACAAGATGATTCTGTTCAGGTATATTGGTTATCACGCACAACTTATTTCAATTACAGCATTTAGCTGTTGTTTTACAATAGGAGTTACATTTTGCTTTATTATACCTTTTAAGCTATGAATCAGTGAGTTTACTGTGTTGTTAGGATACTGTTGCTTCTGCATTGCAAAAAATTTGCCCGGTTTTTGGAAAATTCATCAATGATTCAGAAGTAAAGGTAAATGCTTTATACGAATTTTTAAGATACTGTTATATTTGTGGAAGCTATACTTTTGGACAACTTAACTGGATAGAAATTCACTGTTTGTCTCCCTATCTATCGGTATATGACACATTTAGATATTGATTAGAAATTTTTTGATAAACATCAAATCGAGTTCTGCCACTGCCAGACGTACCGCTGCTTCTGCTGTTACATTATTATGTAGGCATACTACGAAGCCCAATTATTTCTTTTCTTGGCTCGTTAGTGAGCTGATTGGTAATATTTATTTTCGGAATAGTAATTTAATTTATGTTCTTGACATGGCTTAGCTATTTATCTATTTATTCAATTTTTCTTCTAGATATTTTACTACCGCTACAAAATGTTTATCAGCAGAATTTCTTACTGCTTGGTACATTATTATGTCTACGTAGTATTGTACCATATTTATCGAAACCTATTAAAGATACAGTTAGTGGAGGAATTCATGGCACTATCGGTGGAATCATCACGGAAAATGCAGATTCCTCTCCGGTTAACATCATGCATCTGATTAAGGTAAATGCTTTTTCTGACTGTTATATAAATATAGGAATTCGCAGTACCGTATTGCAATTAGATACAGTATTACTTATTTAGCCATAATTCGAAAGAAACCTAGATTATTAATCAAATATTTAATAATGATTTGATGGGAAAGATTTCAAATGAAATTTGTTATTCCTCATTTTGAATTATTGCACCTTTCACTGTTGTAGATGTACGGAATTGTGATGGCCTGCTTAAAGCATACTAACCATAATGTTGTCACAGCTGCTCTTGAAACTCTCCAACTGATACTGAAATCACCACCTAAGTCATTACTGTCTCTGTTACTATCTGATCCAGATGATACTTTAATGATCAATATCGCTCGTATTGGAAGCAGCCATGAGATTGTTCCTAATAAATCAAGTAGTAATCTCGATCAGTTAGAATCTAAGGCAGACAATGTAGAAGCAAGTATAGACCCAGCGATATCAGCCGTTGAGAATAAAGATAGCTTAGCTCCAGATGCAGTTGTTAAAGGAGGCAATAATATATCAGTTGAGATTGATCTAGCCGACAACGTAGCTGTCCAACTTAATTTAAATCAGAGCTCTGATGCTACTACTACTAATCAAGATTCAGCTGGTGTGAGTCAACCCGTAACAGAAGCAAATGAGGAGGATAGCTTAGCAGATGACAGTAGTGATATTAGTCGCCCTTCTATAGAAGGTAGTGATATTTCGAGAATATGGGATAGATTGGTGGATAGTAATAAAGCTCCAATTGTTTCGTGCATTCGTATGCTATGCACATCATTTCTATTGGATGGTGAAAATGGTCAATTAATACCCGATAAAATTATCCGTGTAAGTGTCAAGGTTTTGTCGTTAAATTGTGTATCTCAAGCTTTAGGATTTTGTCCACAAGCTTTTATCGCTCCGCTTTATGCACAATCAATAGCGAGTTATCAAGAGGGGCGTAATGATCAAGCATTTGAAATCTATCGTGTCCGGGATGTATTACAATACGCTAATCATTCTGATCCAAAATTACGTGGTAATATCGCCCTACTTATCGGCAATTATATTAAGACCTCACTGATTGTTGCTGGATATCACTATGATTTATGGTTACACAGTTGTTTGTCGCAACAATTTAAGAATGAACATGAAGTTTACCTTGAAAATTTTGTAAATCTCTTATTATTACTATTGAAAGATGAATCATCAGTTGTTATTGGTATGGCAATACAAGGCGTTAAATTATGCCTAAATTCACTAATGAAGAGTGATGAGAGTCAATTGTCATGGAATATTATTGCTACCGTACTTCAATTAAAAATTCATCCGTATTGGCTTGTTCGCGTTAAGTTACTGGATATTTTGACTGAATTAGATTTCACTTTGTTGCACTATTGGCACCAAAGTCGTGCAAATATTGACTTTTTGCGATCATATTGTTCGCCTTGTACTCAACAACAAGTCATTGATGAAGTTATCATGTTGCTATTAGGTGATGAAGATATTCGTGTGCGACAAGCAACAACAACAACATTAGTTAAAATTATTCCTCATCTGTTTTATCCAATCGATCACCCTAAAGGTGATTATATTACGGCTGCTGCACAACAATCCTTAGTAGACGATGTTAATATATTAAATTACGAGCATGACATGAGCAAGAATCTATCATTGTTAACCAAAGGTTCAGCAGTAACAAAAACTGATGATCGACATGAATATATTGATGACATTACCCTGGCTAACCTTTCGCGTATAATTAATTCTTTATTAGCCAAGCTACACATAACATCATCAAAATATTTTATGACAGGTTGCCTACACGCTTTATCTATACTATCTAATAATTATCCAGTTGATAAGTATAGCTCTGCTTGGGGTTACCATCGAAGTAAGCCAAAGGGAGATTTGTCTGCCAATACTAATAACGTATCACGTCAAAATAGCTTTGGTAGTTTAGATGATATTAGCGGTAGTAATGGTAGTGGTCCGTTACCGTTAATGGTATCATTACTAACGTCGTCATGGGTTACGTTTGACTTACAGACTCATAATGATGTACTTATTTTGGCATGTAATCTACTAGTTGGTGCTTCCTTCAACTCAATCTTAACAAGTGATGGCGAGAATGGAAAATTTGAAATTACAGAAAGTTGGCCTGCGTTAAGCGATTTCTTGTTGGTGCCATTGGCAAACCAACTATTCGCACATATTTCACGATTACTTAATATTTTTACGCACGTTATAGATGATTTGCCAACGACTATTCCACAAACACAAAAGGCTAAAGAGTTTTTACGTGAAAAAAGTGGTAGTATTGCCGGATTAACGGCTAGTGCATCTGCTGGTTCGTTAGCTGCTGTTGTATCTCCAAAGAAGCGGTTTTCATTTCGTAATCGCGGTGAGTCTGGTGCTGTAGTCAATGATAAAAAAGAGTTAACTCCATCAAATGATACCAGCGACTTTACCTCAACAAGATCCGGTCGAATTGCAGATAATGGAATAGTTGGCCAATTTGTAAATGTAGCGCACTATTTTAAACTATATGAAGAATTAAGAAATGTTCAATCAAGCTATCAGGTAAGCAATAGGTACATTCATTTGCCGATATAATCCGAAACACTGCAGTGGCATGTTCTATTCATTACTTATAGTCGATTAATTATAATGATGAGAAATTTTAATATCGTTTTTCGTAGCTATTTGTCCATTAATTGTATGAAAATTTCATCAATGATATTGCTGTTATAATTTTGAAGAATCTCTATTACTGTATTTTTACTTTAGTTTTCGACTGAAATATAATGCTTGATTAATGTTGTTACTAATTAGTTATAATTATGGTTCCAAATTTCTCTTGCTTTTTTCCCATTGTCTAGCTACCGACTACAAATGTTATTATTAACGACTTATGACTTACTTTCTTACCATCAGTCTTCCTTAGCTACAAATGAATCCGAGGATAAATTCGCTAACTTACTCAAAACTACGTTGACTTCCTTTAGCAAAATTCTTGAAGTTGCGACGTTAAATGAAAGTGGTCGGGTAGGTAGACACAATATTCAAATATCAATAATAGTATAAAGGTATCGGAGCATATTCGTGTATCTACATTTGTTCATAAATTAATCAACATGCAATCTATCTATATAGTATGTAGAAGAATTTGTTAATTATATGCAAGCATGCATTAAGAGAGAATCTGCTGCAACATTACGTTGCGTCCAACAGGTAAGGCACCCTTCGAAATTGATGAAACAAAAGTGATCCGGCACATCCAAAATTATAATCACGTTGTAAATATTTTTTATGTCAAGTTTATTAGATGTTTGTTCAGTATAAATGCAGCGACTAATCCTTGGCAAATACCAGTCAACGTTTGCAGAAATAGATACACGAATAAAGCAGCTAAGGATATCTTTACAGGTTTTCACCAAATCTACTCAGAATTGCCTTTAAAACAATTTGCTATTAAAATGATTGGTATAAAGAATAGCCAAGATGATTTTCAACTCGAGGAAGACGCTGTTACGATCAAATCACACAGTCGATTACCAGCATCAGAAACAGGAGGAAGGGCCGATAACAAGGTTCTGAACTAGAATAGTGATAATACTTTAATGTGTCTTACTTTACCGAATTTACGCCGAAAGACCGCTAATATTTGCACTCTGATTGCCTTGCGATGAATAATAGCGCCCCGTCCAGCTTATCCGTATCTTTGAACCGTTAGTAATCCATGCACTGAAACAATACACCTTCACAAGTAGTGTAGACTTACAGCAACAAATTCTTCACTTGCTTGCGCAGCTTATCAAGATAAGGGTCAACTATTCGTTACTGGATGCGGATCAGGTAAAAAATATTTAAAAATTTTAATAATAAAACTTACTTTCTCGAATTTTTAAAACGAGATTTTGACATGTCTACAGTATTAACGTAGATTATTTGCATCTCATTCTAGTCCTTCGTTAACTTTATTTTGCGGCAATTTGAGTTAATAGAAGCTGGACAAATGAAGTATTCGCTTATTTAAATAATATAATTCTTTAAAAAAGTTATTCAATACCCACTTTACTACAATCTGGCACTAATTCTAAGCTTTGCTCCTTGTCAATAATAGAGAGAGCGAGAATATAATCCCAAGTATATTTCAGTTCTTGATACTTTTGTCGTACGAGCGAATGAATCTCGAACCTATTGTTGGTATACCTCGCATACTTCAATTGTCTGACGGTATAATGGCAAGCGGACAGTTAGCACCTGCTCATGGTATGAATATTAGCATGGAACTTTAAGTTATTCACGTCGATAGTAATACAATATTTTTTACCCATTAAATATCCGTAACAGTTATTTTTTCTAACTGTAATGTTTTTAGTCATTCCTGCATTTCGGCCTGTGGTGTTTGACTTATTCAACGTACGTTCCTTACTAAAGCCGAAAGGTGAAGAAGGTAAACAATTGGACGCTCAAAGAGAAGTTGTTATTGCAACTCTAATGAAATTGATGGATCATCATGAGGTGCCGCTAATATAATTTCAAGTTAAAAATTTAGTTTTTGTCTTTTTTATCACAAATGTAATGGTATGGGATAGATGCTTATTTAACGATATTAGCTAATTCTATACTATTATTGCAATTCAGACGGTTGAGTTATGCCTAGTTATACTGTCATCGTGTCGCGATGAAGAGAATCGTTGGAAGCGCATTTCACGCCAAATGGTAGATTTCCTACTTCCGTTGCTGACGAAATTGCAGGTCCATCCATATATAAATATATTTAGCATCTGATAATGAAATATATTCAGATGAATATCCTTGATAAAGTATACTAATAATGTTATGAATACTATATGGTCTTATACGAAATAGGTTAATGTTGATTCCATCCACGCTTTGCATGTATTACATCGATTCTTTGAAATGGTAATGCCAATTTCGCTGAGGCCTATTGATATGCTAGTTAAAGCATTTTTTACACCAGCCAATATGGAAAGTGAAGTAAAGGTTCATCGTTGGCTAGCTAGCATTTTGATTATTTTTCACATATTTTTGCTACGCGCTGATGAAGATACCATACTCGGTCGTATTGAAGAAATGCACATCGATGACAGACAATTTACTTTGTCAAATGAAGACCTGGAACGATCTAATTATAACGCTGTTGATGTGTTGACCCAGTTCATATTTTACGTCATTAAGAATGCAACTGGGAAATTAGTTGAAAGTATCACAACCCCTAGTAATGAAGAATCAAAGTATGCATTTTTAGGAGCTGAAATACATTTATTATTTCTGTATCTAAAATATATTATTAAAAAAGCCGTATACAGAAAATTTACTCAGCAAGCCAAATCATTAATTAAAAATTATCAACAAGAAGGTTACGGAAACACTATTATAGGTCAAATTAATAGTTTAATACTTGATTTACGTCAGAGTATGCCGAGATTAGTGCTTGATTGGTGCGAGTTATTATTGCAGCTTGAATTTACTGATAAAGGGTGGTGGGAGCAATTATTACTACGTGGTGAATATGTATCAAAGATAGCGTTACGAGCCGTAAATAAGCTCCCTAGTTGTAGTCACGAAGTTATTCGTCGTGGTATTATATTGCTACTGTCGGACTCCTTACAATCTTATTACCAAGGACCCACCTTTAAGCAAATTTTGCCATGGTTTATATCGAATTATGCACTAAATATTGTTGAATTATCGTTTGAACCTCCAGCTATTAATTTACTTAATAATATTAACGGCGACGTCGAATTAAGTGGTATCTTTTTACAAGGTGTAGCTGATGGATTAAAGTTTTCCATGATAAATTTGTTATCGAAACCATCCTTCGGCAGAAAATTGGTACGTTGTCTGTCAGATATTCATGACAGTTTAACCGGCTCACTTATTAGTCTAATCGTAACTAAATTATTAGATACTCATCATCGCTGTATTGGAAGGTTATTTGAGACTTTAGCTTGCAATCGTTTGGATTTTTTATTGACTGAATCTGTTGAAGATTGTCAACAACAATTGGCTGATGGCAAAGCAGATGTATTAACCCAATTTTTGAAAGATACATTTAAGTTAAATCGTCATTTAAGATTAAAATCGCTTATTATTCGGGTCTTAAATCATGTTACAATTAATGGAGATGAAATTAGTCAACTCAGTCGTCAATGTAGCCTAAATCCTACAATCCAAGTTGATAAAGTTTGGTTTTTAGATATGATTAAGCACCGATGTTTCCAAGATAAAAATTCTATTAACGCATCACGGAAATATTCGTTATTACTGCGTAATTTGCCATTGTCAGATGCTATTGAAATATTAAATAGCCATGATTTTGATATAAGTTTACTGGAAGATTGTATAACTGTGTGTCTAGCAGAATTTCAACGTTCAAAGTCTGATGATGCTGAAGTAAGTGGATCAAATGGCTATAATGATAAAAATCAACATCAATTAGATAATGACAGTTATCAACACGAACCCAGTAAATTTTTTCTAGAGTGCCAAAAAGTCCTTATGGGCAGGATAACAGATCAACTAAATATGATTCTAACAGAACAGAAAAATCGTGATGATTATCAGCGAGAACAAGCTGCCCTATCACAAAATATTGATTTATCTTCCGCTGATCATGATACAGTCGAGACCAAGACATCTGCTACTCAATTTAGTAGCCTTATTGAATTCAAAAATATTATTCGCGACTTTCAACGTGTTAAGGACATAAATTCTCTAACGAAATGTCTAACGCTAGTATTGGAATCAGAAGTGGATTTGACAACTGTTTATCATTTACCTGATGAGTTTTGCGAAGCTGCTGCTCGCTTTGCGTTATTGTCACTCGGTGTATCGTGCCGTATGATAACTGAATTGATTTATTGCTATGAAGAACTTTATTCGGCACTTTCCTGCGCTTCAGTGGCTTTATTCTCTAAGAAATATGTGTCCATTTATTCTAACCCAGATTATCATCGAGTTATATGTCAAGGCGTTCAATTTGTTTACGATTTAATAATATCAATCGGTTTATCACCTGGTAGTGTCTTGGTGCCATCAAATTTATCCACTGACCTTATACAGCAATCAATAAATAATGACCATGATATTATGATTTTTAACGCTTGTGATAAGCTATCACAGCTACTACATAGTCATCGCACTATTTTTAGCTATAGCGCTAGCCATCGATCAGTATTTCAAATCCCACAATTTTTAATTGGTCCATGTATTAGCGTCTTACTTGGATTAGCTCGCTTGCCTCTTTTCAATAGCTATTGTTGCGTTCCATTACTTGCTTGGAAAATGGGATGGCTTGCTGATAATCAGTATCGTCCTTCTGAACCTTTGCCACCTTTATCTCCTGATTATCTTTGTGAAAAAGATATACTTGAAGATTTTGTTTTTCGTATTAATTTACTAGGTACTCTAAATATCATTACTGTCAATGTTATTAAATCGAGATAAAAATTTTGTTACTTCTTTAGCAACTTTAATGCCTTTATTTGTATTAGGTTGGACATCACGACAACAATTTGAAGAGATTTGGGTTGCTCTGTTAGGCGTGTTAGGGACTTCAATACCCGAAAATGCATCCAATGATGTAAATTTTCTAGCATCATTTTTTTAAGCCTTATACAGTATTAGAGGAAGATCGTTACTATCTTGAAAGAATTCTATTTTTATACCTTTTTTAATCTCTCTGATTCACTTAGGAAATTTCTGAACTGAATCATTCTAACTGCATAGCAGTAGAAGGTTTAACGTCCTTGTTATTGCATACGTCGTTGATTCCCATAGCTGGTCGACCAAATCGCTGTATATATTTGCATTCTTCAAGACATAAGCCTTTGCCATTTATGAACTCTGTGTAAGTCACTATGAATAATGATGTAACGATATTATACTGCAATAGAAAAAACTTATATAAGCAATTTCTACTACTGGATTAGCATTGGTAAGAAACTTGAAAAAGTACGAGGAATAGTCGAAAAGTCAATTGAGAAATTTTCAATTAGAAGGTAAAGAGGGTTTAAGTTAATTTTTCATCAGTAATATGCCAATAATTCAAATAAATGGGGGTTATGAACTAATATTTTAATACTTTTTCATCGGCATTACGTATAAAGAACTGCTGGCTGTAGAAGTGTACCCATTAATTATTACAATAATATGGGTTGTATGCAAAGTACAATGACAAGCATGTCGAAAAAGAGCCACTTTTGGTTACGTAGTAACCATAACAGTAGCCGAATGCTATATAATAGCAACACTGAACGTGACATATCATGCTTGGAATATGTTCTTGGCCAGGTTTGTGATCTAAATTCTTAGATTGATTACATCAGTCACTCATGTACATCTTATCATAACAGTTCCTTTGATTATATTATTAAAGGTTCCAGTTTGTGTATTGCGAATGCAAGTTTCGGAGACTGACAACAAAGACGACGCTTATTCAAGAGCTACAATATTTGAAGAAGATATCGGATTAGACATTCATTCTTGTTTGCAATTTCTACTCGAATTATTTGAACGGTGGCTTACACCTCAAACTTCACAAAATATAACAATTAACCTTAAACGAGAAGCTGCAAAATCGGTAATAAAAGTAATTTATTTCAGCCATTGTCCTTTCTGGATTTATCATTCGCTTCTTAGCATTTTTTGCTTCACTTCAGGTTTTGGTATTGTCAGATATTTTCGTTAATCGTGAACACTTTCAGTGGATGTATGATATATTTATGGAATTATATAAATATCATCCAGCCGAAGACGATGTCATGATGCAGTATATTGTCATTGGAATTTGTAAAGCCGTTTCAGTCTTAGGATTAGTAAGTATTAGAAATGTAATTCCAATTAATTTAATCAGTAAATGGTTACGCATTTGTATTAAAATTATTTGTCGATAACTTATTTCATAGGATGGCCAATCAGTTGATAAAATTTGTCGCGTAATTGAATTTTCACTGAAGAGTAGTTACTTGTCGCTACAGGTATTCCTACTGTACTTATAGAAATGATTTGTAAATTGTTATATTAAATGTCGCATTAATGTAATTCACAATAAACTCTAGATTTGTGGCCTGTTTGGAGTACTATATATATTAGAACCCCATCCAATGAGCTCCTTAACAGCATTCTTAGATCCGCTAATTAATTATTTGACAACAAAATTAAGTGAAGTACAATTGTAAGATTTATATTCTATTTGTTATCACCATAATTCAAAGAGTAATATAGCTATATCTTAATTACTTAAAATATTGATTGCGCTCAGGATGTCGTTTGGAACTAGTTATCAACATACTTTGGTAATGCTATCGGCAGCTTTCTTTATTATTGAACATTATGTGGATGACATTAAAGACACAAACTTTTTTCAGTTAGTGTTACAAGTAAGTATTCTTGTTAATAACATTACTCGAAATAGGGAAATTGATTATAGAAGTGTATTATAATATTACGCATATGGCTTATTCTTGGTATGCGAAATGTACAAACTCATATTTTTATTAGATTGTTGTGACAATGATCAGTGCCAGCGATGAAGTAACCCCTCCTGTTATATATCATGCCATTATGAGAGGACTAGAGAGAATTATTTTATCCTTTACGTTAACACCGGATGAATCGGATATGATTATCAAACTTAGTATAGATAGGTAAGGATACGTAAGTTTAGGCACCTTATAATTATATGCGTATACATCCTTAACATTGCAGAATGATGATATTTTTATTGTTACAATTGCATCATTTAGATTATCTATGCCAAGCCCTGAGAGAGCTTTGTCTGCTCTTGGACTACTTTTAACATGCATGTACGCCGGTAAGAACATTGGGATTTAATATCAAGCCAGCGTTCAGTAGCAAGTTAGCAACCACCTAACTGTTATACATATTCTAGGAAAAATTGAAAGTGAAGCCAACCCTGGTCAAGAGCTTGATGCTATGGCCAACGTACATACAATTGAGCGAGTGACTATCTTATTTGACAGGTGAATGAGATCTACCTTGTTACTGCTGTCATGCATGAATGTTGTATTTGTCCTATTATTCCTATTCTTTATTTCTTTTGGATAATATATACTTTTCTCAATAAATATACGATAGTATATATGACAGATTATCATATACTGTAATAAGCTGAATATTGAATGGAATAGTATCAAAACTTTGCATTGAGTATATTAATGCATACTAGTTTACTATACATTAATAACCTTAACCTTAAATTTTGATGAATATTCTGTTCTGTATTCAGCTTTCAGCAGCATTTTAATTTTAAAATTACTATACGATTTTGAATTTTTTATTATCATCTCAATCGTACTTAACATATTGTTATCTGTAATCTTATACTAATAGGATTAGGAAGGGGCTGCCTTCGGAAGCTACAGTAGTTGCTCATATTTTACCATCTGTATTGGAAGATTTCTTTTCACCTCAGGAGATAATGAATAAAGTTATAGGAGAGTTTTTAAGTAGTCAACAACCTCATCCTCAACTTATGGCTGAAGTACTATTTAAAGTTTTTGAAAATCTTCAGCGTCAGTCGCAGCAGACAGCAGTTACAAAATGGGTCATGCTCTCTATCGGTAGTTTTACGCAAAGGTAATAATATCGAATATGAAATAAGTGTAATTATTGAAAGACTAAGATTTAGCCATATAATTCATTTATAGGACACCTTTAGCTATGGCTGTATGGGGTTTGAATTGTTTACTAATCAGTGCTTCAACTAATTACTGGATCCGATCATTGTAGGATACATAGACTACTGCGATTACTATCTGAAGCAAATTTTTTGATCTTTGCCTAACCATTGATATTACTGTCTTCGAATTATTTTGAATTTATTTCTTAGGTTGCCTTATGTGATCAGTAGAATAGGTAAATTAGAGCAAGTTGATAAACAAATATTTTATACGACTGCTCTGGATTTTTTCGTCAATAAGGTATGCAAATGTTTCGATCCTTTCTGATCATTATAGGCTACTGTGTGCTTGATGTAATTATATTAATCAAAAATTGATTATGCTGCGTTTTTTACCTTGTAGAACCTTGACCAGACTCAAAAGAGAACCTTTTTATCTACCTTTGCTTCCTCCGTATCGCCTTACTCAGATTTAAATCGATATTGTCAACAATATATTTCTAATCAGTAAAACATGAATCAACTTATTATGCTAAGAATATCTTAATATGGAATATGTGCTCCTTAAATCGATTTACAGTTATAGTAGAGTAAAACAACACGAGAGAGTTGGTTGTATAATGCCGACTATATTTGCAGATGGCTTTTATTTATTTTATTAATGATCGGCATTGCGTAATTACATAAATTACTACTAACGTCAACCGATTGGACTTACAGCTTAAAATTTAGTTGCGTGCCCAAATTAAGTGATTTTACTTCTTATCTACAATGTATGTTTAAAATGGGGAATGACATCGATCAAATTTGTTTAATAGAATCCTTGTATTAAGTTCATTGCAAACAATGGTAGTCAAATTTAAAATTTGCATGCTCACAAAGATCAATTAACATTTAACCCTTATGACAGTATATCTTTATATTACAGATATATTCTTATATTGCCTTATTAATTTGCTACTTATCCTGTCGAAAGTTTTACAAAAATATTGTGATTAAAATTTTTCATAACAGAAAGGATAGCTTGTCTGGATCATTTTCGATTAAATTTGAATGTTTTCAATGGATCTGACACCTAATTGCGTATAGTAGAGGAAGCGTCATTTGACGAAAGACCTGCGTAAATACAGCTCTGTCTCCTATTTATTGCCGTCAGGTAGTAGTAATTAATTATATTTAGCAAACCTTAGGCTTCTTATAAGCGGTACGATTTAAATGTGCACTAGGTCGTTTTCGAGATTTCTTCATGGACTGTTGCAAAGCTGGTGGAACTGCAATAACAGTTAAGTTAGTATGTGCAGGCATGAAAAGATGGAAAAATGATATTAAAATTCTTATTCTGCTTGCCTAAATAGTCTGGGACATTTTTTAAATGTGGCCTAACTTTAGCTGGATGCAAAACTAAATCATGCCGAAGTGCTTGCATATCCTTAGGATTATGACCGAAATATGTCTGAAATTACATGTTAACGAAAGCTGTAAAATTCTTTTCATCGATAAAGCATGACCTTCACGTATGAGTACATTTTAAATAATCTCAGATAAGAATCAGCAATATTGACAACAGTATTTCTTGATCATAAATTACATATACAAAATTAGCTAGTTTAATATACAAGTATACCTTTAACTTTTCGGAATTCAACATCTCCTTTTTAATCTCTCGGAGTCTGGCATCTCGAACTATGAATCATTTGAATGTTAGGTCGCAATTAATTAATTAATTAACTAATGAATATACATAAAGAAATTATACGCGTAGATATTACCAGCATTTTTGGTTACAGCACGTAAAGCATCCTATCACGAGGTAAAAGGTGCGTCAATTTAGAGATATCTGTATCCAGCGAAATATTGGAATAATACGATTTTGGCCTACAAAATACCTGCGCTCTATATCTGAAGCTTTCAATTTCATTCATCTTGAAAGTATATGGTTTCACTACAGCTGCATCGTCTATTGTAAAATATATGAATCAGAACAGCAATGCGATTATTAATCTACTAAACCATGATTCTTACATTGAACATATATATTCCATGTACTAACAATGCGAACATAAAAAGAAATCCCTTACCATTACCATAATCTTCTGAAAGTTTATCTTGTACACTTTTCAACAACGCTTCATCATCAGAAGTTACAAGTGATAGCGCAGAGCCTACATCGTCACCACGAGCAGTCCTAGATAGTTATTAAAGTTTATACATGATATATTAATCCTAATGCGAATTTTAAAGTCAAAGGAAACTCTATTTCCATAAACTATAAAACTTTCACTACCTTCCGACTCTGTGGATGTAAGATTCTGGCGTTTTAGGAAAGTCAAAATTGATAATATTTTTTACACCTAATGCAATCAAATGCAAGAAATATAACTTACCCATTCGTAGCTAATAACATAACCGGTTAAATTCATCTACATTCATTAATTATTTTTAATCCTACTAGCCTTGGAAATCAACACCGCGGGATACACCAAACTCGCTATCTTTATGTCTTCTATTGTAATTGATAATTAATTAGTAAAATAATACCTTTAGGGCCTAAAATTTTTAATTATTGATAATTATTAATTCTTTTCATGATTTCTTCCTATTTTACCTTTTGCCTTTATTACTAATTTTATTGGCAGGGTTGGTTCTGACGGATGTATTCAAGACTGTTTCATCAGATGCAATAATGATATCGTAAATACCTCTATTAAATTCGTCTATAATATGCGATCTGATAACAAATAATTGATATCTAATATTAGTCATGATAAATAAAAATAAGGTGAAGTTAATTATCCACTCATATAGCCTATCGAAGGGATAATACCTAGAATTTTGAGGCAATTCTGAGTTTAGAACGCAGCATTTAATGGAGAATTGTTCCAGGTATAATTTTAATCTATTACGTTAAAGTATACAAGGTCATTGTAATAGCTTCATAAAAATGAAAATCAAGAATAATATCTTCATCTAGGCGTTAATCTGACCTATAGCAACGATTAATTGTATTTATAAATAGAATTGATTTGCCTTCGATTAACCTATTCATACGAGTGAGAGAAAGAAGAAGAAATTAATTACTGATATTAATCTATCGATATTTTTCGATAGGTACTGTACTGATGTACGGGTCTATACAGTGACCATAGCGTAGTTAAAAAATATTTCCGATTTATTAATACGTAAATGCTATCACAAGATAATCACAATATGAAACGATCGGTAATTTAAGTCGATACATAATATTCGATTGTTACCCTAATTTGAACATAGCATAAATGAGTAAGAATTTATCTTCTTCGTTGCATCTGATAGGAAATCAAACAAGTTAATAATTTAGCCATGAGCACGTATCCAATATCATTGAATAGCATCGTCGATTCGTAATTAGCTTAATATGATCGTCTCAAGATTGATTTAGTCAAGCAGGAATTACTTACTTGATAAAATATTGATCTAATCTATCCTGCTCGGGCAATTGGGATTCCTGCAGTTTTAGTACAACCTATCGGTGATGAACGCATATTAAGTTTAGAAAATAGTAGTAGACTTAGATAACAATTGAGCGGTAAAAATTCTCAACATACTGGGTTGTGTAAAACTAATTTTCGCAGCGACTTGACATCCTAAAAGTTTTAAAGCATTAGATAGAATAATAGGTAATACTGCATTTCAATCGCTTCGATTTGAACATAACTTAGCCTATAGCATGTCGACACAAGAGGAAATGGAAAACGTAAACAATTTTAATTATTTAGACTTACATCGGATAGGGTAGCCGACAGTAGCATGGACTGGCATATATTTGGTAAATACCTAGCAAGAGACGTAACAATATGTGAAATAGAAATACACGGCAAAATAGATTGTACAGGTGATCGTTATTACACAAGAAGGCTTTTCAAATCGTTTTCAAAATTGAATGAAAAGATCAAGTCAGCTTCGTCAATGACCAACATTTCCAGTTGACTTATATCTAGCGACTATACATCAAATATTTCATTAATAGTAAGATAATTCATCAACATCATAACGAGTTACTGATAAAAAGACCGTATTAACCCAATTGAAATTTTTTAGCTTATTTGGTATCATTATTGAAGATTGAAGTTGGTCATCCATACCTTTGATTTGACGCAAGTGAGAATACGAGTTGGAGTGCCAATAACAATATGAGGGTAAGATAGTAATTGGGTTCTATAGATAGCAAGATGACGACATACATCGGTACGATTAATCTCTGATTAAAATTATGCAGTAATTGGCGTTGTTAGAAAATAAACTGATAGTAAGATGATGATTATCGTAGCATCATCCACCGCTATTGCTATACGTATTCAGCAAAGTATTTGCATACAATCGAATTGACCGAAGATCGAGAACACATTTGCTACCTTAAGTTTGGAGATGAATCTTGACTGGATACATTAATAGCTTGAATTTGATGAGAACAACAAGTTGTCAAATCCTAGCGAGAGAAACATGCCATTATATCATTGTTTACTTCCCTAATTCTAGTTGATTACCTTTTGCATTTATTGGCCGTAAAAGTTTGTAGCGAGTAGATTTATAGCATCACGTCAGCATATACAGTAGGACATTACAGTACTCACTTTAATATTGTTGCACGCTTGTCGGCTTAATTCTTTGGTTGGGACTAAGATGAGGATTTTTGCCGCATTTGCAATCTCATTTTCACCCTGTTAAATAGTAAAAATTGCTATCAATTGGACAAACAATGGTCTAAAAATCTTAAAAACAGTCAATTTAAGGAATCCATAACAACCAATGGTGGTGCCTACATTGGATCATTCAGCTGACTTACCCGATCAAGCAGAGTCAGAAGTTTCTGTATCGCAGGGATGGCATAACTATATCAAATTGAACGGGATAACTTATTGTCATATCACTATTCTATGCTGTTCAATTTATTAGTTAACTCGAATTCTGCCTTACGCTGCAGTTTTGCCGGAGCCTGTTCTTGCTCTTGCTAAGATATCTTTGCCTTGCAAAGCGATAGGAATAGCTGCTGCTTGAATTGGTGTGGGTCTCTTCCAACCGCATTTTTCAATTGCCTACAAAGTGTAATAACGACAATTTTAACCTATTGATATCGACTATTGCCTTGTATCGTCAGTTATCGTGTACAGTCAATTATAGCAATCATAGAGACCTTGGATAGGCGATGATCTAAACCGAAATCGGAAAATTCCGTCAAATCTTCTGCCATAGTTGATGAAATCTGCAGGAGCTGTCCGCCGATCTTCTCCACTGCTGTTGACTCCTAGACTATAATCTAGTCCATGCCACTAAAAAACGTCTCGCTGGTGGTTAGGATTACTTCTACGCTTACGATGTTATTGCAATAAGCTTTTCTATGGGTTTTAGGTGATGTACAGAACAGTAGAGTAGGGTGCTCGTGGCGACACAAAATGCAAAACTCTTTGTCATACTTTTGACTTTTTCGCTAATCTAATGTATACTATACCACAGTCAAGATGATATAACAGAGTGTCATTTATTTTACATCATATGACATGTATGTGTAAGACGTACTATACTGTCCCATACATCACCGCATGATATAGTGTATTGTCTCGCTAAAGGACTTCCCAGCTAACAGTACAAACATGCATCGGTCTATGATACAAAATTAGGTTAAAATAGTAAAAATGGCTGCTGCTAACGATACTATTTATTTTTTAGCCTAATACTTGTTATATTTTAAAGCATATATCTACTGAAATTAGCTGAAATCAATTTAGCAAAGGAAGAAAATAGACTCGTATTTCTAACGAGGAGTAGAAACGGTCCAAATTGCAAAGTACTTGTACCCATACATAGCAAAAAAATTGCTTGTTGCTAACTAGAAACGTAGGCCTATATCTTAATTGGAATAGATAAAATAAGCTTGCTAATTAGAAATAGGATTAAAAAATAATTTGGAAAAGGTGAAATTACGAAAAATAGCATGCTGATAACTATAACATCGATTTTATAAATGGATTCTATTGTGTAAGGCAAGCAAATACTGGTATTTTTCGAAGTGAATTCCAATTAGTTCTTTTAGTAGCCATTCATATATAACATATATAACAGAAAATAGCATACCCAATACTATAATCTCAATTTCTATTTAAATTATAGCTGGAAAAGTAAGTAGATAAGTAAATATTTTGTAAAAAATATTGACTCTTTAGTAAGATACTGTTATGGTTTAAGATAGTAAACGTGATAATGTAAATTGATTTAGAAATAGATAGTTGTAAATATTATGGTAAAATTGTAATATTCAACCGATAATGGATTTCCATTAGTGGCTGTGTAGATTTAGGTTAAGTACTATGCAAAATACGGGTAATAATCAAAATGGCAATTGTCACACATTTATGCAATCTGTTAGGCACTAAGCTGATTTAAGTTGGCACGTAATATATTGTTTAACACATGTATATGTTCTGGAATAATTGATATAATTACATGTGCACAGAAAAAGACTATATTACGGTATAGGAAATAATGAACAGATTGTACAGGTGGAGTTTGGCACAAGCATATAAGGAAGCGCATTTGTACTTAAAAAAGAGAGGATAGTAATTTAAGCTGCGGAGTGGAACGACAGTTGAATAAAGATAGCTTTTGTAATATTACCTAGTAAACTTCTAGAATAACTCTTACTGTTGACTAAGGTCCTTCGTCAAGGTAGTGAAAGTATTGACGCTTGGTAGCAGATTTATAATACGGTAGAAGGTTTTACAGGTAATCATAGAAGAAGAGAATTCATAGTAACAAACGAAATTTGTGACAGGTCCCTTATACAGTATGCGTACGCGTATCACGAAAAATAGCTTACTGAAAACTACGATATAATCTCAATTTCTAATATCCTCATTAAAATAGGTAAGATAATAAATTGTTTCTGTATTGAAATAAGCATAATAAATAGTTCGTAGATAACTATAATCTTAATTCTATATTTTCATTATAATGGTCACAGTAAGCACTGGTTTCTAAATAGAAACTGGGCTAGCTATGATTTAGAATAGTTAGCATTGCAGATTGAGTAAAAAGGCAATATTAATTTTAATCTCATATCCAAATTATACTGTATAGACCACTATTACAGCGTAACTTGTATACTGGTTGAATTGACTGTACAGTGTACATTTACCAGTGACCGTTGGTTTGCATTAGAAATTTTAAAGACATAAAGTTGCTCAATACTGCGGTAAAAATGAACAAAAACATCGGGAGCTAATTGCCCACGGTGGAAATGATCTGTTTATGGGGAATATGAGCTAAATTAAATATAAATACCTTGAAAATTTAAAAGATCGAATTAAAGGCTGCACTATATCTGAATAGCTTTCAACCACTACAGAAAACTTGCTACGCCACTGAAAGAGTGGTCTAGTCATTGGGTAAGATGGGTAATAGTTTCTAAATACAAACAGGGTTGTTCCCTTGACAAGGCTACTAATACGAAAATAGCATAATAATATTTATAATTTCAATTCTATTTTCAATTATTTGAAATCCGGTTAGCTAAGAAATATTCTCTATCAGAAAATAGAATAGAGTTAGTTCATTTAGCGAAGTGAATATCACGAAAATTTACGCGTTAATAACTATCATATATCCTTACCTTTATATCTCAGTTTTATTGAATAAGATAAATAAGCGTAGTAAGTTACTAATACGAATATATGAATATACCGATCCTATTAGATAGAAGTATTAATACTACAAAGGCTGCTGTATAATCAATAGTACCATACCTAATCAATATCCAAGAATTAATGGAAAATCAGTACTACCAACAACATTAAACGGCTCAGTATGTACATTATGCATTAAAGCAACTTTGCCAAAAAAATTACTAGAAAAATTGATTTAAGAACCAGAAAAGGAAAAATTCTGAACGGCAAGATAGAAGGCAAACAGTAGAAATATCGCGTGTGTGAATTTTGATAATTAGGAAGAAACTACTAACTAGAATCAGATAATAAAATCAACGCTAATGACGAAATAAAATCCTAGAGTTTCCAACAACTACCTTACGCTATTTTGTCAACATTGATTTGCAATATATTTCGATGCAATGAATAATTCAATGGTACTTCTATTATACTTATTCATTTAAAATATAGCACTGGTACTATCAGTTTTTACAGTATATCGCAAATCTGAATTTAACTTGTAATTCATAATATTTGAAAATGGCCATAAATGATTAGCTAGTTAGTTAAAGCAGTACTTTTCAATTTATATAATACAGAATAATTTTTAATTTCCTCTGACCGATCCGAGGCATTAAATATGTAGAAATTAAATATGCACTTGATGATGAAACTTCTTGGATTAGCAAAATGTTTTGTTTATAATTCATACAATTACTATTTCGATGAATTTCGGATAGAAAAGATAGTCAATGTTTCACCGAATTTTATCCAGTCTAGCTAATAAATAGCACCGCTCCATAAATGTACAATTGCGATACAAGCAATATCTAAAGATATGCATTTGAATTTGAATTTAATATTTTGTGATATATACCAATCACGAGATTCCAAATTTTAGAAAAATAACGGCTTTATTGAATCTTATACAAAGATTAACTACACACAACTCTACTTTAGCCGAATACTAGTACTAAAGACTTCTAGAACGAACTAACAGAATAATCTAAAGTTGTATGCTTTTATACTTTCCTTAGCATTCGCAGCTACAATCCGCATGGCAACCTTTTACCTTATTTTACACTTAGTTAAATTATTCTTAGTAAGACTATTCTACTGCGGACCATCATTAATCCAATATGGATAAGACTACAGTACTGTACTTACGTAGATATTATTCACACCAGCCAAAGTACAATGAATTAACCATATCCTAATATATGATTTACATTTCTATTTTTACGTATAGCCTTATTAGTAACTCAACACCTTACTATATATAGTCATCTGTACTCTAGCATAGTGTCTATACCACTACAGTCTATAGTCATAGCTACCAAATATCACTTAGGATAAATATCTACCGTACATTATACTAAACATGGCTAACAGTCTACAATCACAATACTAGTTACATTACATATTTCCATTTATTTCGCTATCTACTAGTGCAAACTCCCGTCGCTTTGCTGACGGTTTACGATAATGTGCTCATTTAACAGTCATAGTATTACCATTTGATAGACCTGTCAGAGGTTCAGTAACTTTTTACCGTGTACTGTATGCTGTACAAAAGTACTACATTTGTGCATTGCAGTAACTGCAGGAATGGTTCATATAGCCGCATGTATGCTGAGCAGATACAAAATCATCGATTGTTGCTATCGAGTCAATATCACCTAATCTTCCTATTCGATGTAATTGGCGATGATGATAGTTTCTGCTACGATTACCTGCTGGCTGATTTTGATCTCTAGGAGTACTATCTACTTCAGAATTCCTGATATGACTTACAGATTGATTTAATGTACGTACTGATCGTGTATTTCCACGTTGTTCACTTCGCTTTCGCCTATCAGATCGTTGACTAACTGACATTATCCTCTTAGAAACACTTTTTGTTATATGATATATAGCAATCAAAAATAACCGGGACAGGGGAACTACAGTAGGGTAACACTACGAATTGCATGAGAGCAATAGAACTAATAGTACCTCCTGATGTGTATCAATCACTTCTACCTTCTCAATAATATTTACATAAACCCTAGAGATCATTCATTTCTATGCCAATTCAAATTTCGTTAAGTAACTTTCGTATTAGTATGTTTACCGAATAAGGATGGTTACTATATACAGTATTAATGCTAAAAGCACATTACGATAACTAATGTACGGTGATGGACATACCAAGTCAAGATTAGCAGGTACTGTAAGATATCTACAGTGCGGTTCAATGTCCTTAGTACTGTGGTCAATTCTATACCAATCATTATAATGTGTCTAAGGATCGCTTGAGTATGCAAGCAAAGCTTGCTCTGTCGATAGTAACCGTTATAAGAAAATGTAACAATCAAAATGGCTGTGTAGAAAACTCTATAAAGATTCTATGTTTATTCAATTTTCATCAGAATATTACACGAAATCAAAATTTAAAGGCCCAGTAGCCACTCTTAGCGATATAATGAATACTATTTTAATAATCAGTACTCTGCAGAAATTACTATCTTAGATCTATTCGTTTTACATGAAGAAATCTTTAGGTAAAAAGTACTGTAAGAATCTTATACTGAGCTATTGAAATGAACCCATAATCAAAGTCATTTAACAGTACAGTAGTATAAATACCCTCGCGCTGCTCATTTCAAGGGCGAGTGGCTGGGATGAGGAATGTCCTCTTTGTTGTAGATGAAGCTAAAACACTCGATATTTTTTACCATCATCATTAGAAGCTTTCATAGATGGACTGGTAGAATGATTGGCGTTATTATTTTCGATGACACCCATTTCTGATGATCGTAATCCGTGATTGCGATTGCATCCTGCATGATCCACTAAAGAGCTGAATGTTAATTTACTGTAGCAATAACACAGCACTTGATAGTAAGCTTGCCGAAAGCGTTTATACAAGATAGCATAAATAATAGGATTCAGTAAGCTATTCACATTGGCCATAAATCCGCAA